GGGTTTTTTGGTTGGGCGGGGGGGGGGGGGGGGGGAGGTGAACGTCCTAGGATAAGCACGACGCACATTAAGAGACATCGAGGTTAGTTATTGCATGCAGTGTAGGTTGTTCGGTGGATTGTATTGTTTACACGACCTTCGGATTTGTAGACGCGGGTCGATTACTGGTGTTTTGAGTTCGGGAAGTTTAAGAGAGCATCCACTTTGGCCAGGATTGTCAAAGAGTGATGTAGTCTCTCGTTGTTTTGTGCTCCGTCGGTGCGATGAGTGACGAATGATCGTGCTTGAAAAATTGCAATTGGTTGTTCAGGGACTATTAATTTTGCTTCCCGGAACCTGTTTGGAATTTCTGTTGTATGTTTTCGGGTTCGTCGCGCTAGGAAAAACGTGCATGGCATTACAGAAGTGATTTTTTTGCTGCTTTGAGGGTGGGCGGACGGCTTGGGCGTGGGGGAGAAGCAGCGGTAGCTGCCCTTGACAAATAGACTTTTAAGTATGAGGTTCATTTTTTTATATACAGTACTTGTATTGTACAGGGACAGCGCTGCTGGGGATATGGGGGTGCTTTCAACACTTTTAAGGAACTTCACTTGTCTCTGAAAGTGGCCGCTGAAGGCTCTCCTGCCCGTCTTCTCTACAACGCCGTAGTTTTGTTGGCGGAAGCAGGACAGATTTTCTTGTCTCGTGCGTGAGCGTGACACTGCCGGTGAAAACTGGTAGCTCGTCTTGTCACCCCCCCAACGGTCGTCGCCACGAGTAGAAATGACGTGGAATGCTGTAGTGGCGAAGCACTCACGGATCCGATTCAACCCGTTGCCGGCCGCAGGACACGGAGAGAGCGCTGTTGCCCTCTGGCTGGCTGGCAAGCAACGTGCAACGATTTGGCATCATCATTCCCTGACATCATCCGTGAGCCCCCAACTGTGGTAAGCCTGCTATTTACTGTAGCAGCTGCTCTGCCGTGGAGAGCAGCAGGAATAACTTGCCTTGTGTTTCTTTCTTTCAACCCAACGAAGAGCGTATGAGAAGCGAGAGGGGTAGACCTCGCACACCGGGCGGCGGAGCAGCCGGGTCTCCTCCTCTTCCTCCTCCAGCCGTTCCTGTTGCTTTCATGTTGACGAGAAAAAGGTTGTATGTCCACAACTCTTTGTTGATTTCGACGTCCGCACACCTGCCTGCCGTTCACCGCAAGTGGCGCAAGCAGCGGCCGGTCGCCTCGGCTGCGTTCTCCCCTCACCACACTTCGGTCCCGTCGAGATACAGTACGTCGACGAGTGTCATCTATCCAGGTGTGATGTTGCCCTGTTCACAGCCCAATCCTGACCACCACCAGATAACACCCACTTTTGAACCCCCCCCCTCGAAATCCGGCAAGAACGCACGCACGAAGACACTCTCCACAAAACCAAAATCCGACCACCTTCCGCGCAGTCACTCCTCACCCCTGTAAAGAGCGCCAAAAAAGCGGAGAACAAAGCTGCAGCCTCGTCTCTTGCGTCGTGGAAACAACTCGATTAAGTATCCAACATCTTCCCCCCCCCCCCCCCCCCCCCCCCCCCCCCACCG